GACTAGGCAAGATTTTCGATGGCCAGTTCGGGGCCATTTATCGACGAACGATACTAGGAAAGTAATTTTATAAAATCATTCCAAGCGTTATTAAACGAATTAAAGTGGTTGGCTGTCGATGTTCCGTTTGATTATCTAACGACGTGCGATATAATCACAGTCGAAGAACAATAAACACAGTCAGATCGATCCGAATTATATCGCCGTTACGAGCGTCGCCCTTGAGCTGCCTTTTGTCTGGTTAAAAGCGCCGTGAGTCAAGCGTTATTATATACGCGTTCAGCTGGAGAAAATTACGTTTAACATTGCGATAATCGCGAACAAAGTCGGTCCGCGTCCTCGTCGAACTGGTTCCGCTAACGCGCAGCATCGAGGCTCGAGGAATTTGCATCCACGTGTCAAATCGTGCATCGTCGATCGGAAAACAAAATCGAAGCCACGCGGGATCCACCCACTCGACCGATTCCGGCGTAACGCGACTCGCATTCCCATTTCTCAAAAGATGAAAATCGCCGAGAAACGCTACTCCTGAGTCACGTTGCTCTCCAAACCTGCTTCGAAGGAAATTTCCACAAAATTGCGAATGATCGAATAAAAAAAAAAAAAAAAACGAAACTTTATGGGACTACTTGGGAATCCAAAAAAAAAAAATTCTAAATTGCATGGATGGCTCGGACTCCTCAAGGACTCTGGGAGGACTCGGGAATCTTCAAGCTTTTTTTTAGGGTTTATAATGAGATCGGATCGGAGACATCGGTCGAGAACTTGAAAAAATAATGACGAATAAATATTTCTACTTATATCAGAGTTATGGAAATAAATAATAAATTACTGAATACGGGGGCCAAGAATGAATTTCTACGACTGATAGAATCAGTCACATTTTACAATGGAACAAATAAAAATAAAAATAAGAACAAAAATTCCATTAGGTGAAGCTTCAGCTTTATGCGAAACGTAATTTTTTAATGTACGATCTTCAACAAAATTTATCTTGTCATCCGTTGTTATTTTAAATAAATTTGTGAATATAATTTCTACATAATATATTTATATAAACATATTATATACTTGATACGTCAGAAAATTCGATAGTCAAAACGCGTTAAACAAGATCTATCATCGATGACACCGTTTACCTGTTCCAGCTTCTCCTGTCGCGTGTGTCGCGTACCGACTCGTCCTTTCGAAGGATCTTCGACCACGGTGTCCTTCCTCCGATTTCCCTCGAATAACACCGAATCGATTCTGGATCGGGCCTCCGATGGACCGTTACGCGTAGGTCGCGAAAGAATTCGAACGGGAACTGTCAGATCGCGCTCGTATGGATCACGTATCCCGTCTACCAGGGAGGATCGCGTGCTCGACGTGCGTATCGATCAACGTCCACGACGCGACTGACTCACGCTTCGTCTGGTCTGCTCGTATTTACCGCATTTCTCTCTGCCTTTTCTTCTGTAGATCCGCGAAAGCGAACCGGGTCTGGACGGGTCGATACGGAAGGGTCGACTTCGTGATCCAGATATTGACTGATCACAATGGCCACGCGTGGGGAGGGTTATAAAGTTTCAAACCCCACGGATTTCCCGAGCGATTAGCTCGCTCGCAATCGCAGCTCGCACCCACTGGAGAGATACGGGGCTGCTTCGAGTGCAAACGTGCGGTTTGTTTTCATAGCTGACGACAGGAGCTTCCGAAGACGGATGGCTGGATTTCCCCGAGCATAGGTTTTTGGAACGTTGGTTATGTTTGCGTTTAATGAGTTGGCCGGGTAAAGCGACCAGACGTAGAATTTGCGTGTGTATTCGTGATAACGATTACGAATGGAAGTATCGTTTATGTTTAACGCTTTAACTGCCTTTTTACCATGGTAAACAATACTTTGTTATCTGTTATGTTATTATATTTAGTATTTATAGATGGTCGTGTATCTGCAACACCGACGGTTGCTGACGTCACCGAGGACTTCTGCGAACGGGGGATCGCGAACTTTCTCCAAAAGATGGGAAAACATTTTGGCAAACCTGATATTATCGAAATAGCATTGCATGCTCCCATTATTTAATTATGAAATACTATACGGGTATTAATAAGAGCAAGAAAACGATTCTAGTAGATAAAAGATAAAAGTAATAGTCTCTAGATAAAAGTAATGATATCATTGAATTTATTTACCAAACGCTACCAGTCGGTAAGGTGTTGGTTCACACTAATCGATGAGTCGGAATCGATTGATGTTCATCGGCCGATTCTAGAGAACGGTGATGTTTGTTTTTGATAGTTGACGCAGATTAAAGGGAAACCGTGGCGGATCGTGGGTTTTTCCCACGTGGGACTTTTTGAATTAAGTTTACGTTTGCCTATCGAACGCACCGATTTTCTGAAGCATAGAAACTTCTTAGGTTAGGTTAGGTTATGGTTTATTATAGTGTAGCCCTATCGGACCTCTTACACTTTTCCTGTAATACACATTTTGGTTTTACTTATGCTACGTATTATACATAAGAGAACATATCAGAAACAGTATTACTAAGAGCTCAATGATTACTATACAGGGTGTCCCAAAAGTCGGGGAGGAGCCGGAAATGGGGGGTAGCTGAGACGATTCTGAACAACAATTTCCTTTGCAAAAATGTCGGATGGGGCTTCGTTAAGGAGATATTAAGAGAAAACCTCGACCAATCAGAGCGCGCGTAGACCGTTGGAGCGGCCGCGGTAGCGAAGGCTACGGCGCTAGGTGGCAGCGTCAATGTCCTTCGATGCACATCGAGTCACTTGTTCGCGTACAAGCGCGGCCGCCAACGCGTAGCCTTCGCTACCGCGGCCGCTCCAACGGTCTACGCGCGCTCTGATTGGTCGGGGTTTTCGCTTAATATCTCCTTAACGAAGCCCCATCCGACATTTTTGCAAAGGAAATTGTTGTTCAGAATCGTCTCAGCTACCCTCCATTTCCGGCTCCTCCCCGACTTTTGGGACACCCTGTATAACGATTGCCGTAAAAATACGCTTTTCTCCTGTTGCAACCGATTCATTTAAATTCTCTTATCTACTCATTGTAACTTTGGATTTTATATACTAGCTTTTATTATAATCTCGTGATGCTACTGTTTTAATAAACAAATTTCTTTAACAAACCATACGCCACTTATACCGACGGTGACGCATCTAAGAACAAGCCACCGCAAACATCGTGCTATTATTTTTCTGGAGCATGCAATTTTCAAATATAGACGATACGATATTCTCAGATATGTGTTTCACTGATATCTATTTAAGCAGTGACGCGCCTAAGCAGGTGTAGGGGGTACGTTATCGTCGATGTTATCGAGTTATCAAAGAACGTATAAACCCCTACACTCTCCTCTATTGTATCAGGCACTGTAAGGTTGTATTAATATTTGCATCCCATTCTACTTAATCGCAAGTGAATCGAAAGAGGTTATTATCTTCCCACGACTGCCAAAATGACGTCCTGCGTGTCCGGAATCGGGCATCAATGAAATTTCCATGGTTGCGTGACTAATTACGCGCGCAACGGAAATTTACGAATAAACGGGCGATTATGCGGGTCCATCCAGCGTCATCGTCGGAACCGCGGATCACTTCTCCTCAATGGCAGGCGCCGATTTTTTATCGTGTCGACGCAACAGCTCTTTTGTTCGACGTTGAATCGATTCGACACGCACAATAGAAGCGCGTAGAAGCGATAAAGTCGGCAAAGAGGATGGTTGAGATCAATCAGGGAAAAGATCCTAATACTTTCTCTGCATGTTTCTCATAAAATATAGTAATTATAATCCTGAGACGCGGTAGCGTCTCGGCGCCAAGTACATGAAGAAAACATGGCGTTGGAGGTACCATGTATCTTTTACAGAAGAGATGGCCCATTCCAACCTAACCTGAAACTTCTTTCGTGAATATCTCAACACGCCTGCAATATTTTCTAAATATTTCGCGCCTGCATATTTCTCATGTAAACCGCATATAAGCTTTCGAATGAAACCAAAATCAATAAAATCGGTCCACGAACGACAGAGATATCGTAATATCATATCATGAATGTGTGTCAAAAACTGCAGCATTTTTCTTTTCCTCTAGCTATTCTGTAACTACCTATGTAAGTAACGTAGGAATCTGTTGGTAGAATTGCGACAGTGGCGCCATCGGTGAGAATACGCCAAAGCTTGTAGTGAACATACTTCCCGCTGTTGCTGATAGGTGGAGCCATAAACGCATTGGTGGCGCCATCCGGGGGAAAGCGCCCAAGCTTGTAGTGAATATAGTTTTCCTAGCGGTACTGTAAGATGGCGCCACAAATTCTTTATGGCGCCATCTATCATCAACAGCGGGAACTATGTTCGCTACAAGCTTGGGCGTATTCCCACCGATGGCGCCACTGTCGAATTTTGAAACTTTCACGTGTGGCCACTAGAGGGCTACAACAATTGTCGATATGTAGATACCATTGAAATTGATTATTATTGGATTTGTCTTGTCTTTTTTCAAGTAAAAATCTTGACTTGGCTATCAAATTAAACAGCGTTATATTCCATTGGAAAATATAGGAAGGAGAATCTAAAATTTTAGACATTTTCCAAGGTTAGGAATTAATCTTTAGCTATTTTACAGCAGAAGGATGTGTTTGACAGGCTCTCTATCGACATACACAGAGGGAGTGTCATATAAAATGCTTTCGTAATACCCCCACTACTGATCTCTTCCATAATAAATGGGAGAATGATCCTATATATTAGCGTTGTCAAGGCGCGTGATCGTGATCCATTTTCATTCCACCTGGACAGTCCAATGAAAAAACCGTAATACGAGACTCGTATAGAATCTGTACACGTACAATAATGTATGACCATTGTATCGTATAGCTAGCATAGAGAATTTGTACTAACTACAGATCGATGTCAGATTACATGCGAACTTCCATAAAGATTACCACCACACTTCCATAAACGTGTTTTGGAAACAGGTACCATGGATTATCGTAAATTCGGGTTATAAAAATAAGTTTTTTGTTTGTTACTGTGACGAAAGAAAATGATTGAAAAAGGGGGAGGTCAAATTTTGACCAATGGCAATGCTGTCTCCCCTCCCTTGCATTCAACAGCCGAGAAAGCAAAATCGATAAAGAAAACGTTAAACATTTTTTCTCCACTAATCGTTAATGGAATACAATTCTGGTTTTAACAAAATAATTCAACGTAGTTATTTAAAAACTCGTAGAAATGAATTTAACCTGGCACGAAAGTATTTCGAATAATTCGAATTTTTCAATATTTTAGACTCGATTCGAATTTCTCGAATGTTCTACATATTTCGATGTCACGTATTTCTGTTCCATACATTTATACGCTGTATGTATTCATTCAAACGTTATTTTTTTTATTCTCATTCTATCCTTTTCGTTTTCGCGATCATATACTCTGTTTATCATCAAATCTCCAATAATTATTCTTATAATTCGAACCCACGGAATATCTGACGCCATTTTAAGAATATTGATTTTACTTTTGCACAAAGAATGATTCAGCATTACAATACAAATAGCAACACAAAGTTTATCTGTGAGTTGTGCAAAACCATGGCAAGCATTGAAAACAAAATTGTATCGTAATACATCCTCGAAAACAGAATTTTGCTATATTTTGTATTCTTGTACAAGGAGCATTTCAAACAAAATGCAATATCGATTCGACGAGAAGATGCATACTACAAATATGCACATAAAAAAAAAACAAATTATTAAAAAGTTTCGATTCAGATAACAAAATTTCTATTTCTTTAAAGTTCGAAGAGTTTTCATTTAGTTTCTAAATTCAGACACGTTACAGAGTACAGTCAACCATTCCCGCAAGGCCTTCTCCCAATCTTTTTCTCGTTCGCTTCATGTACGGTTGCCTTTAGGATCGATATATATATCTCACTGCTAAATTCATTGATTCGTCCCGGGGCGCTCCCATTGGTCGGTACGTTTTCGTCACCTACGGTACAGAGGAATGGACCAATCGGCGCGTTCCTTTCGTCCGGTAATGCGCGTATATATTTAGAAGCGGAAACATTGCCCAGTCGCCCGTTTCCGTCTTCCTAGAGCTTGTCAGCCATTACAGCTCTGCTCGCCGGTTCTTGCAGGGTAAGTTCCTCCTCGTATTTCTGCCTCCTAAACACATGAATCTTCTCGTCGTTCTCTCCAGTATCGTTGCAAAAGTATCACATTCGTACGCGCAATTATCGTAGAAGATTTCTTAAGCGCGTATTCTTGATCGCAGGTGTAACTGA